GGGGGATAGCAAAGGGTAGGGTAGAGAATCAGCTCACGTAACTGATTTTCCCAGCGCCTCCCGTCGCCGGGAAGCGCCCATGTCTCGAGGAATGGGCCCGGCGCCAGGGCCGAAACCGGCCGCATGCAGCAGCTTTCGTAACCCCTCCTTTCCCTATCCCCCCCTTGTCTCGTTCGGCCCGATCCGAGGGCGGCGGAGGAGGAGGAGGAGGAGGAGGCGGAGGAGGAGGAGGAGGAGTAGAGGAGGAGGAGCAGCAGGAGGAGGAGGAGGAGGAGCAGCAGGAGGAGGAGGAGGAGCAGCAGCAGCAGGAGGAGGAGCAGCAGGGAGGAGGAGGAGGAGGAGCAGCAGCAGCAGGAGGAGGAAGAGGAGGAAAAGGGAGGCGGAGGAGGAGGAGGAGGAGCGCACAGGCTGACCGACGAGAAGAGGGCAGGCGGACAAGAAAGAGACGAGACGAGGGCAAACCGCAGACCAGGTCCGACTGGGGCGGCAGCAGGCGGCGGCAGCTGGGGGTCGGGCCTCGATCACCGTCCTCTGGACGTGAGAGCAGCCCGCGCTCCCGCATGTCTGCGGGCAATGACACGAACCCTAGACCTAAATAGAGACAGGAGACAGTCGGGCCCGAAACGGTCCTGGGACCTCAGGGTATTGTACGCAGACAGTAAAACGTCATGGACCAGGAGGGCCGATAAAAGCTCATTACTATTTATGGGGGGGGTCTCGTGGATAAAGAAATGTTGAACCCTAGACCATGCTCTGTACGAAGAGGGGAGAGAGGGAAGGGCGTCCTTCAGCACTTCAAGAGCAGCAGGGCAGTGGAGATAGTGGTCGACCGCATCCCCGAACATCGCCATACAACCGAACCTGCAGCACATAGTTCCATTTCGAAATCGTCTCGTGGTCGGCCACGCGTTACACACACTCTTGATCAGGGAGGTGGAAGCGAACGGGCCCACCTTCTTCGTTAGCATATTGATCAGCAAGAACATCCGATCGGCCACCTTCTCCGGAGCATCTGGCCAAAAATACAGGATACGACGGTGCAGCAGGGGAGGGACAGGCTGGCCAGGGGAACGTGATCTCAACAAGGACGACATCTTTTTCTGCACATCATCACAATCTGGGTCCGCCAGTCGGGGTGCAATCGCAGACAACTGGGTGAAATTCACAATCCAGGTCATGGTAACCGAGCCGTTCAACCAATTCTTCATTCGTGTCACAGCCAAGACATCGCAATCATATTCAGAGATACTGTGAAATCTGGCAGCTATACTAGGGAAAACGGAACTTCTCAAAGCGGCACGGAACAACGCGGCCCTATTTTCACATGAAATGTCTCGAGGTACCGAATCGAATCCCAAAGAGCCCAGGTTCTTTAGTAATGCCGTCGATATCGAATGCCGCGGAGCAGCAGTCAGTCGCTGAAGGGCAACGTGTTCAGTGTCATACACTCTGGTGTCGGCCATGTAGAACTGGCAGATATGGGACAAGACAGGGTGCGCCAGCATGTTGTACGCGCGAATATTCTGCGCCAGGGATAATTTCAGCTCTCTGATATGGGCTACTCGTTCCAGGAGCTTACGACAGGGGGCACGCCATGATTCAGCACAACCCTCTGGGCCAAGAAATACGCCCAAGTACTTAGCGTGGGGGCCAATCCGTACCGAGTCCACGGGGATGTCAAGGTCGCGCAACCGCTGCTTGGCCATCTCAATGTCCATGTCGAGCGCGATGACCACCCAACATTTCCCCGTGTGGAGCTTCAGGCCTGTGACGATGCCAGTGTCGCCCATCCAGGTCAGAACCATAGGTATAGTAAGGCGAAGGTTTCCCGTCGCAATGCCGATGTCGTCAGCACACGCAAGAGGGAGCCCAGGGTGCGGGCGGAGTCGCCGTTGTAGGCCTCGAACGACTGGATCGAAGATTATCACGAATATCAAAGCTGAGAGTGGGCATCCTTGCTTCATTCCTCGGGTGACAGTGAAGCCAGAGAATCTTGAGCCAGCGAACAAAATGTCAACATATATGTCGTCGTACAATGATCTGACCGCACGAACGATGTGCCTGGGAACGCCCATGGCTTCCAAGACCTCGAAGATCCAGGAGTGCAACACACTCGGGAACGCAGCGGCGATGTCCAGGAGCATGAACCCTGGGAACTCGAGGCCCCGATGGCAGGCCCACTCCAGAACCCAGGACTCCAACTCAATCACGTTATCAAGCATATTACGTTTCTTGATGAACCCGCGCTGGCACTCCGCCACGGAGAACCTGGCCTGGATCTGGAACGGGTCGGCTAGGGCAGCGGAGACGAGCTTGTTGTCTGTGTTGCTCAGAGTGAGGGTCCTAGTCTGACGGGCCTCGAGAACAGTCCTAGGACCAGAATCGCTCACTTCAACCTTGGGAGGGAACACGAGCTGACCGAAGTTGAATCCAGAAGGTGGGCGGGCTCCACGAAGTAGAGCACGATAGGCCGCATACAGGGCCGACAAAACGGTTTCTCCCCCGTTTTTCCACCCGCTATATGGCACCCCGTCAGGTCCTGCAGCAGAGTCTTTACGGTGAACAACGATAGAGCGAAACTCATGTTCCATGAGTTCCCATTGGATACCAGGAGAGACCGATTGAATCTCACTCCGAAGGGCAGCAAGCACCGCAGGATCAGGCTCAGGGAGAACACCAGGACACCGATGAACTTCACCCCAAAAGTTAGCTAGGTTGCGGGCACTCTGTTCGATACTGGCGGGGGCCTCGTCCACTGGGTCAGCCACCGAGAAAATCGCAAGCTTCCGACGTTTTACCGACCACGACCGACATATAGCTTGGAGCCTGGCACGACGAGCCTCATCGATTCTCCCAAGAGAGTCCGTACACTCAGTGTGGATCATATCATTAATCATCGTAGAGTTCAGCTCCCGAATATATTCATGAAACCCGAGATAATCAGTATACCCAAGATTCTCGAAGCAATAAAACCGACTAAGTTCAGGCAGAGCGTGTTGGCAGCGGATGATCATAGCGTGGTGACCAGTACGGGCAGCGCGCAGAAGCCTGAGACATACCGCTATTTTTTCTCGACCTGTACGGGGACCTGCACGAAACATCCGACGAGTCAGCTCATCCTTCGCAGCGAACATGGCGGCCTTGCACTCCAGCAAGGCCTCAAACGGGTCAGAACTGACCCCACACTCCTGCAGGATCGTTTCCACAGTCTCCCCGAAGTCAGGATGTTCGGTAATCCACCGCGGCAAGGTAGGAGTAGAGGGGGCCCCAGGAGACGTCTGCACGAAAATCGGGATGTGGTCCGAGCACTCAGAACGATTGTGGGCCATACCGATCACATTCGAACGAGGTTTCCAATCCAGGATTTCAGCCGTGGGAGCAGACCAGTAGACTCGATCCAATCTACAGACACTGAGAACAATATCTCCTGCAACAGCCCTATGAGTGGCCTCTAGCTGCGGAACTTCCACGAAGTCGCCGAACAGGCTGGCAAAACGGGAGCGCAGAAGGTCATCCTCCCGCGGCAAGGAAACTGACCCGTCCGTGGCCTGTCGGAACTCGTCGGCTTCAGGGAAATTCCAATCCCCTGCCAAACACGAGAGCCCAGCACCCAAAGCTGGAAGAGATCGGCGAAGCCGTCCTAGAACACTATGGACAGCACGAACAGAAATACCAGGATCAATATGAACGTTTGCTATATTCAGGTTCCCGAACTCCCCGAAGAGCTTCACCACCAGAATCCTGCCTCTAGCGACCTCTGAGACCCGAGCAGCTCTGAAATTCTTCAGGAAGGCCTTCGAGATGGAAGTAATGACACCGCCAGCAGAATGAGAACTACAGAAGGGAAGAAAAAAAAAAAATAGAAACAAAAAAATAAAACAAAAATAACAAAGAAAAAATAAGAAAGAAAACATAGAGAAAAAAAGAAAAAAAAAAAAAAAAAAAAAAAAAAAGAAAAAAGAAAAACAAAAAACAAAAATAAAAAGAAATAAACAAAAGAAACATGCCCTACCCCCACCCCCCACCTGCCCCCCTCACCTCCACCCCCCCCCGCCCCGCCCCCCACCCTGCCCCCACGGCCACCGTTGCTATGACGACAACGGCCCTCGCGTCGGAGAGCATTCAGGTCTTGGGGCGTCCCATGAGTCTCCTGCGTGTTTACTATATCAAACCTCTCAATCAAAGATCGGAACTTGCTATACTTCTGACTCTGACGCCTATGATTGGCCCAAATACTACCTAACAGAGCTTGCGTATTCCACGAGACCACCCCGAACGAATTCAGAACTCTAAATGGCGAGCGATCAGAACGAATTAAGGGGGCTCCAAAAATGGGATACACAGCCTCCAGCCGATCGGGGCCCACAGAGGAAGAGGAGGAGGAGGAGGAGGAGGAGGAGGGGGAAGACGGCGGCAGAGGCGGCACACAGCGCCTGCGCTTCACTGCACGACACCCACTAGCTGCACCCGCAGCTCGTCGCCCAGTAACGTAGATGCTGGTGGTGTTCCCACGGTTGCCCCGGTTGCCCGGCGCGTCGCTCATGACTACGTCCTAGCGCCGCTTGGCCACTAGCGCAGACACACGCTCCGCTAGGCTGTCGATGAACTCCTTCGAGAGGCCGACGACGTGGCAGTCTTCCAGCGGCACAATGATGAACGTGCCCTGGGCATCCTCCGAGATCTTCACCAGGTCCCACACCTCCTCGTTAGCCGAATTGTAAAGGTGCAAGTGTCCAGTGAACGGGTTCGACCCTAACTTCATCGACTCGAGCCAGAGGCACTGCTCCTTCAGGGCGTCGAGCATGATCTGCCAGCACTGCCCCAGCGCATACGAGCGATGCCGAATCGGCTGAGGCTGATCCCAGCCCACACGAAGCTGCACCACCTCGGCGCTGCGCGGGTCCGTCCAGGTCAAGAAAGAGGGGTCCGCTCGACATCTGGTGTGGAAGAGCAGAGCGTCATCCTCCTCGTCGAACTGAATATTGTAACTGAACTTATAGTTCTGGGCCTGAACTCGGCACTTCTCAGAGTACTGCGCGGGCATCTTGGACTTGACAATGGCAAAGTGCGACTTGAACGTCGTCTGCATCAGTTTGCGAGGGAAGCCGCGGATCCAGATCTTCTTCTTGTTGCGCTCACCGTGGTCGTGACCAGTAGGGGGGGCAGCAAGTGGCTGAGCTGGAGCAGCTCCGCGGCGCCGCGCGTAGTCGGACCACGGGTCGCTGTTCACCGATGGCGAGCTGGAGGCCACCGTGGAAGCGAGCTTCTCCTCCAGCTGCAGCACCCGCGCGGTGAGCTCCGCATCCACGACAGGGGAAGCCGAAACAGGAGGCCGGCCGCGATGGGCAGAGTCTGACATCAGCTCATCCTCGCTATCGATAGTGATGGCCTGGCCAAGCTGTAAGGCCGAGATGGCAGCCGCCTGCCGCTCCAGCTCCGCACGTTGCTCCGCCATGGCTTGCTGCTGTTCGTCCAGACGCTTATTTAGTTCTTGATCCAGGCGTTTGACTGTCTCCATGTTGCTAGTGATCGCGTTCGACAGGATGTTGATCTGCTCGTTGATGGGATCAACGTGGGACTTCAACTGACCCGCAAGCAACTCCTTCATACTCTCGAGAGTAAGAGCCATCGCGCCGATGAAAACAGAACGACTTGGTAGGTACTGTACCTGACTGCAGAGGCAAAATGCGTGCTCAGTGTGAAACAAAGCAGGGGTCCTTGTCCGTGGGCACTCTCCAGGACCCCAAGCGCGCGGCGGGCGCTGGCCACTCGAGGCGGGGGGTAGAGTTCCCGAAATGGCCACTTGAGCCAAAATGGCTTGAGCCAAAATGGCTACGGAGGAGGAGGAGGAGGAGGAGGAGGAGGAGGAGGAGGAGGAGGAGGAGGAGGAGGAGGAGCAGCAGGAGGAGGAGCAGCAGGAGGAGGAGGAGGGTACCGACCTTGGCGCGGGCCCGAGGAGAGCGGCCGCGCCGCGCTGCGCGCCCCGCCTCTCTTCCGCCGCCGCCGCGCCCTGCCGGGACGCCTCGCACAGCCAGCCGCCGAGCCTCTCGGCCTCGGGGCGCGGCCCCCGCGCACGGGGCGCGGGGCGGCCGCTGGGCTTCAGCCGGGCCTGTCCCTCTACAGGAGGAGCATTCAAGACTGGTTAAAAAATGGTCGGGGGCGAACTCTTCTAGTATTTGTTTGACCATTTGGTGGCTTGTTTTGGTATTGATGTTATTCGTCGAAGATCGGCCTGCACGGGGACGGCACGCCCGACCCTAGGCTGGGTGAGCCATCGCTCGGACGTCCATTCCCTGTGTTTTTTTGTCGGTTTCGTGTGTGGTTTTTTAAATGATAGGGATGCTCCTCGAGGGTCCTCGCCTTAGGAACAATGCACACGTCCGAGCGATGCCAAGTCTACGGGAGGAGCGTTCAAGAATGGCAAAGAGTGGTAGGTGGACGAAATCCCTAGTATTTTTGACAATTTGGTGGCTTTCTGGGGTATTGATGTTATTTGTCGACGATCGGCCTGCACGGGGACGGCACGCCCGACCTAGGGCTGGGTGAGCATTGCGGTGGGAGCCTCTACGGACCTCCGCGGCCGCAGCATAGACGTGATCTCGACCGGAACTTGCCCAGATTCCGACCACCTGGAGCGCGCTTCTGCATGTTCGGCGATAGTGGGCATTACAGGGGGGAGGAGGGGCCAGGGGGGGGGGGTATAATGTAACGCCTCCCCCCCGCCGTGCGCACGGCGGCAGTGCCCGAGCGCACGGGGGGGGAGGCGTTACGTTATAGGGGGGGAGGGGGGCAGGGGGCCTATGATGCCCATTATGCCCCAAGCAATGATTAAAGAAACACGCTCCATCGTAGACGTGATTTCGACCGGAACTTGTCCAGATTCCGACCACCTATGCTCACCCTTTCGTTCAGATGTCGTCCAACGGTCGTCCAGCTGTCGTCCACACGTCGACCAACTCCCAATGATTTCTGGGACTCGTTGAAACTTCCATGACGGACCCCACAACAGCGGGGGGGCAACATTGGAGGCCTGGGAATGAGATCAAAACAGGGGGGGGAGACCACCGTGGGAAGATGATGCTAGAGCTCGGTGTCGGTGGTGATATTCCGGCCACATGGGAAGCCCGAGTATGACCACCATCACCGAATTCGGGATCATCTCGTTCATGGTACTTGGCGTTGGTGTCAACCTCTAGGCTTCCAAGGGCCTGGGGCGGACGGACGGACGCCGTGGTGGGGTCGCTGAGATCGAACGCGCTTAAAATGACAGCACGGAAATGTTTCGCTGCGTTCGGCCTCTGGGGACCCCCGCCGGGCCCCAGGACCGCCAAACAAATGTGGGATTAAAGCGCTCGACGCGGAGATCCCAAGATGTGCATATCATACTCCTGTCAAGTACCGCTGAGGAGCTCTGTTTATGAACATCTGGGCGTGACACCGAACATCGGATCCGCGTAGACGACAGTCGCGGTAACGACGACGGGGGCAGCGACGACTTCAGTGACGTCCTCCTCCTCTGGAGATCTTTCAAGCGAGACGAAGGAACACACAAGTGGAAGAGCGAGGGGGGGGTCCTCTTGCCATTCTCCCCAAGGCAACTCAGGCAAGCGCACATGCCGTTGCTATGCCCGCTCTCTGGCGTGCTGCTCGCGGCGCCTGCTGGCATTTAGGCCCCCAGGAGCCACGCTGGCTAAATCGTGGTAGCCACTTGTGTGTATCAGTTTTAGCGCGAGTGAATTTGAGCGTGGATGATGTGAGTGTGAGCGAGTCGGGGTGTGAGTGGATCCGGGTATCGTTGTGCCTGCTTGTGGTCGAATCTGGATATAGCCTATGCGGACACGGGGGGGTGTGAGTATGAATGGGTCTGAGTGCGAATGAGACTACATGCCGGCGTGTCTGGTGCGAGTGGGTCTGGGTATGAGTAAAGATGAATTCGACTGTGATGCATACAAGTCAGAATATGAGCGAGTCTGGGTGCGATGTGGTCTGACTACCAGGAGGGTGAGTCTGAGTGCGTGTGTCAGGATGTGCGTTGGGCTGGGCTGGACTGCGACTGAATCTCAGGTTGAGTCACTCTAAGAGTGAGTAAATACGATTGGGTCTGAGTGAGTTAAAAGTGCCGATGAGTAGATCCGAATGCGAATGAATGCGTCTGAGTAGAAATAAACGGGAAGGAGGTCAGTGAGTGAGGAGCACGCAAGTCCACAGAAACACCTGCCAAGCAGAAGCTGGCAAACCGCGCGAAACATCCCCACAATCTGAGCGTGAATCCTGAAGTGTCCTTTCCCCTGGCGGTTCCGCCTTAGGATGCCCAATGCCACGCCTGGTATGAACATTGGACCACGCAGTAAGACAAGTCTGGGGGGCAGAAGCTGGCAAACCGCCTGAGACACCCACACAATCTAGGCGCGAATATTGAAGAGCCCCACCCACCCCTGGCGGTTCCCCCTTGGGGTGCCCAAGTGGCGGCTCCCCACGCGGGGTGCCCAAGGGCGACGCCTGTAAGCACAACAAAAATATGAAGGGGGCGGATTTTGGCAAATCGCTTGAAACATCCTTCAGTCTGAGTGTCTTCACCCCTGGCGGTTCCCCCTTGGGTGTCCAAATCCCACGGATCAGCAAAAAACAAAAAAAACTGAAACATCCTCACATGTTGGACGTTTTCAGTCATGGGGGTTCCCTTCTGGGTTTCCTGATTGCCACGCCTGCTATATCGCGGTCAAGGTCTGTGTGGCAAGATTCGGCAAACCGCCTGAAACGTCCCCACAATCTAAGCGCGGATTCCTGAATATGCTCAGTCCTGGTGGCCTCCCACTGGAGCTCCCAAGTGCCACGCCTGCTATCTCGCGGTGAGCAGTGGACCACCAAAAGAGTCTGAATGAGCCGGAGCGGGAAACAGTGTTTCATAAGGATGGATCTCAATTATGTACGAGTGAAAGCGCGCCTGGGAATAACCCCCCGAGTAGGTATGAGGGGGTCTGGGTGGCTCTAAAATCGACTGTGTCTGAGTCGGGACATGATGTGGTTGAGTCTGCGTGAGGGAAATGAGTCTGCGATGGAACCCGTGGAAAAAAACGGAAAATATGTGATGGGCCCCGTGATGGGAGTGAACGACATGGGTTTCTGAATGGTATGCGAATGAAGCGAAGGAAAAAGAAGAGGAAGAGGAGGAGGAGAAGGAAAGAGGTCTGGAGGAGTCCACCAAATAACAACCACCATCTTAGGACATAGGGCCAACTGCCCATGGGAAATATCAGGCCTTCCGGGGACTCCGTACTGAAAACGTCGAGACGTCGGATCTCCAGGGACGGAGGACGCAGGAAACTTTCCGCGGGACGGCCCTGAAGTGTTCTAAGGGCTTCGGGTCGCGCACCGACGCAGACCCCCCAGGCAGCCCCCACTGGCCCCGACATGCTCCCCCCAACTGTCCCCGTCGGCCTCAACAGACCCCCCAAGCAGTCCGAGACAGTCTCGCCATCCCGGCGCCACTGGGCGCTCCGTCCCCCGGGGCCAGGGTGCGGAGACGAGACCGCCCTGGCCCACTGGGGAGGCCCGTGGAGACCAGCAGGGGGGACATTTTCACGTCGGCGGCGGGGCAAACCTGCTGCACCAGAGAGCGGCGATCCGGGGCAACCGGTGCGCGACGAGTTGGCCGGCGTGCAGCAGGGGGGGGGAACTGGACAGACAGGGCGGCCGCGAAGGAGAGGAGAGGGCGGAGGACACTCAGGAGGCGGAAGGATTCCATGCTGAGTGCGCCGGCGCGGCCAGCAGCGGCAGCGGGGGCCGTGGCAGCAGCCAGGCCGACCAGCCAGGAACACGTGGGCATCCAGAGCTCCAGGCTGGGGCTCGGAGGGGGCGTGGTCGCAACAGCGTGCTCTTGCCCTTCAGCGTGACATTCTGGGGCGCCGCCGCCACACGGGGGGGAGGATGAGAAAAGGATAGGCTTCAAAGCCTCGAGGCTGGGGGCGCTGTGTCCACCACGATTACTTACCGTACGATGAAAGACGGGAGAGAGGTACATCCGGATTCAGGACCCGCCTACCCCGCCGAGAGCCGAGCAAGAATACCAAAACATGCAACTCGTTTCTGTGCGCGCCGCCAGACTTGCAACTTCGCTCCACCCTCTCTGGGGAGTCAAAAAGTACCGATACTGCTGTTCCCCAGACCTCCCCCAGGGTGCGCTCTGACCAGGAGTTCGAGGCGAATCCAGCGGTGTCGAAGAGGGCCTCCCAGGGGGCCCAAACAGGGGAAAACGGTTGAAGGGTGGCAGTATGGGTACAGTGCGGGCGCGGCCGCAAGAAACCAAACACTGAAAACCCGCGCGCGAGGTGCGCCTGAGGGGAATCTGGGAACGCCCTTAACGCAGCAGCTTCTTCAACGGCTGCGGGAAGTCACCGCGCAGCGGGCGGAGCGAAGAAACCCAGGATACCCTGACGATAAGCACATGGTTTCTTGATGCGCGCCCCCACTGTACCTGTTCCTCCTCTGACTCCCCCCCCCCGAGAGGGGGAGGACGGAGGGAGTGGCGCTCCCTGCGGCGAGCGCGGCGGGGTGACGTGCGGGGGCGGCCTTCTGCGAGGGCGGGGCCGGCCTCGCAGAAGGCTGGGGCCATCCTGGAGTGGCCCAGGGGGCTTTGAGCTCCTAGGCCATGCACCTGGGCCACTCTTACCCCCCAGCCCCCAAGTTGGGGCCAAGAAACCCTCGTGGAACTCCATGCAGGCTCCTGGGAGGCCAGGAGGGATTCTCAGAGGGCCCCCGCCATCTCAGAGGGCATCCCCCCTTTCGCCGCCACCCTGCGCGGGTCGCCGCCAGCTAGAAACAGAAGACAGCTCAACTTGGGCCTCGCGTATGGGGGGGGGCGATCAATGGGGGGGACGAAAGATGCACTTTTCGGGCCCTGCACACACCCCTTTGGGGCCCAACGGGCGCCCTTTCCGGGACCTGAAAGAGGGCTCCTTTTTCTGGAGCCCTTGCTGCCATCCTCATTCCCCTTCTCCTGGTACCCTTGCTCACCCACTTGCCTCTAACCTCACACCTCCTCCTCCTCCTCCTCCTCCTCCTGCTCCTCCTGCTCCTCCTCCTCTTCCTCCTCCCCCTCGTCCTCCTCCCTTCCTCCTCCTCCTCCTCCTCCTCCTCCTCCTCCTCCTCCTCCTCCCCCTCCCCCTCCTCCTCCTCCTGCTCCTGCTCCTCCTCCTCCTGCTCCTCCTCCTCCTCCGAGGGGTGCCGAAAGGGAGGGGCTGGCTCAGGGGGGACGCAAATGACCCGAGATCGGAGGCGCGGGCATCGCCGAGAGATCGGCGATAGGCCCCCGCTACCAAAACCTCACGCTCTCGGGCAGCGTGGGGCTCCCAGGCTTTAAGTGGGCCCTGGAAACGACAGGGCCGCTTTCTGTCAACGTTTTCGTTTTGCCGTTCTCGTTTTGCCGTTTTGGTCAACGTTTTCGTTTTCGGTTTGCCGTTTTCGTTTTTCCGTTTTGGTCAACGTTTTCGTTTTGCCGTTTTGCCGTTTTGTCGTTTTGTCAACGGCTCCGACGCCGTTTTGGTTATCGGTTCCGCCGCCGTCGGTTTACCGGTTCTCCGGCTCCGGCTCCCATCCCGGAGCCGCGTTTTGCCGCTTCCGGTCGCCCTTTTTGTTGCTGCTTCCATGTTCACAGGACGTTTTTTCGGAAACCACTGAGTCCCAGGCCCCGATCGGCGATGAATGGGCGATTGGGGTTCGATGCAGCCCCTCCCCCCCTCCTCCTCCTCCTCCTCCTCCTCCTCCTCCTCCTCCTCCTCCTCCTCCTCCTCCTCCTCCTCCTCCTCCGCCCCCCCGAGTCCATCCCCCGTCCCCGGTACGCTCTCGGCAGGGCACCGCCGCGGGGAGAGCAGACCCGAGCCTCGCTGCCCCCCTGTGTAAGCCGAGAGTCATCATCGAAGCCTGCCGCACAGTCCGTCCGCAGCTTCACCGCCACTCCTCCGCGCAGCCGCACACGAGATGTTCAAGAACTCCGCGCGGACCTCCGGTAGTGAATGCTTGCATGTGACGACGCCGTGGACACCAACAGGTGCCGATACCGCTGCTCCCCAGGCCCCTCCCAGGGCGGCAAAAATTCTGACCAGATCTCCTATGAGAAAGCAGCCGTGGCGACGAAGACTCTCCAGGACAAGCAGCAATATCGCTATCTCAGATGCCTCCAAAATAGAGTCGGAGTAGATGTGGTCGGAGCATCGCGCCGCATCGCCGATGCATCACCGATGCATCGACATCGACGTCGAGAACATCGGGCTCCCCATCGAGCCGCATCGCCAATGCATCGGCGAGGAGGTCTGGATATATTTTCCTCCCCTGAGACGCTTTCTCTTGAGCAGGGACTGAACGTCCCAGCATTCCCACAGGCCTACCACGAAATGTCCCAAGAACCACATAATGTTCTAAGAGCCAAGTCAATGTTCTTGGAACGTAAGCCGATGGGCGAAAACAAGAGGCTCCCAGCCAGACCTGTTCTAATTACATTACTCACAGAAGGCTCTCAGCAAACATGTCGGCCAAAACACAAACGGCTCTCGGAACATGACTTGGTGGGACTGTAAGCAGGCCAGGACGCTTCGCCGCTGCTTGAGATCCTCTTCGAACGCCTGCCGGGCACGAACCCCTTCCGCAGCTCCGCCGCCACTCCTCCGCGCAGGCTCAGGTCGGGCATGTCCTCCCACAGGGGGAATTTGAGCGAAACATGAACAAATAATAACAAACGAATTGAACTAATAGCCAAACAAAACGTCCCCTGACGATTGTTTGATTATGTTTGAGCTCTCCCCCCTATAGAGGGACAGGCCCGACTGGAGCGCAGGCCGCGCGGACACACCCGAGGCGGCCGCGCGAGGCCCGGCAGAAGACCGCCCGAGGCCGCGGCCACGTCCGCCATGCGCAGGCACGTCTCCTGCGGCGCAGGGCCGCGGCCGAGGTCGCCAGGAGGGGGCACCACATACTTGGTTTTGCTCCGTCGGCGGCGAGGCAGAATGGCTGCACTCGCTGCACTCCTCCTCCTCCATCTCCTCCTCCTCATTGTCCTCCTCCTCCATTTCCTCCTCCTCCTCCTCCTCCTCCTCATCCCTCCTCGTCCTCCTCTTCCCTCCTCCTCCTCCTCCTCCTCCTCCCCCCTCCTCCCCCCTCCCCCTCCCCTCCTCCTCCTCCTCCCTCCTCCTCCTCCTCCTCCTCATCATCATCCTTCTCCTCCTCCCTGCCTCCTCCTCCGCCCTCCTCCTCCTGCTCCTTCTCAGGATCCTCCCCCCCTCCTCCTCCTCCTCCTCCTCCTCCTCCTCCTCCTCCTCCTCCTCCTCCTCCTCCTCCTCCTCCTCCTCCTCCTCCTCCTCCTCCTCCTCCTCCTCCTCTCGCCGAAATGCGAATTGGCCAGCATGCAGGGGGAGGAAGAGGACGCGCAGGGCGGCCGCGAAGGGGGGGGGGAAGTGGCGGGGCCGCCCAGAGGCGGAAGACTTCAGGGGGCCCCAGACATGCAGGAGAGGCCTTCCAGATGTGGTCGGGGCAGATGTGGTCGGAGGATCGCGCCGCATCGCCGATGTATCGGCGATGCATGGGCGACATCAGCGTGGAGAAGTTCAGGCGTTGGAGTTGTTGGTGGTTGCTCTAGTCTGTACTCGGAGCACAGTTGTGGGTTGCGCGATTCTGGCTACAAACCTGTTCCGAGGAAGGCAGTTTTGCGGTGTGATGTTTGTGCTCGGAGTTTCAGTCTCAAAGGTAAGTTGGCCAATATGTTGGCCTCGCACTGCAAGCCCGAGAGTGTAGTTCAACAGCGTGCAGTCCGTTCACCCAGAGTTGAGGGAGGGCCCTGGGCCAAACGTGGTGGGGGACCCGACGACCTCGTGGGGCCATCCGAGCTCCGTCGGACCACACCCTAGCTGGCTTTTGCCACCACTCACATCACCTTGCGACTTTGGGTGGAGTTTTGTACTGTGAGGTCTCTGGGCAGCACTGCAACACTGCTCCACCTCGCAGACTAAAGGCCGAATGCGCTCCGCCCACACAAGCGGGGTGTAATATGATGTCTCGCCTCCACAGCGGGCTACATCCCACGCCGGGTGCAACGTTTCCTGTGCTGGGATTGGGTGTTGCATGATTCAGTGGCCTGCCCAGCTAAAACGACCCACATTCAACCAACGAGCGAGTGAATGAATGAATGAATGAATGAACTCCGTCCTCCATCCTCTTCTCTCCGCTCTCCTGTATCTTCTCTCCTCCTTCCTCCCTCATGCTCCCTCTTCTTCCTCCTCCTCCTCCTCCTCCCCAGACCTCCGACGTCATGATTTTCTCGCAACGTTGATCCCTGGAGGACTCCACCACCGGCTTTTCATCCCGAGTCGTCTTTTGACGAACACAGGCCCGTGCCAGAGCCACCAGAAACCGAAAATAGCAAAAACCCTTTTCCGCCGTGATCGGTGTCACGATGCGATCCTCCTCACACCTTCCCGTGTAAACAACTCCTCCCCGTCGGACCGCCAAACGTGACGGTACAGTCGGGGCATTGACCTAAGGAACCCTAAAAAGGAACGAGGCCCCTCTTTCCCAAAAGTTAAACTTCCATTTCCCATGGAAATCCCCAGGACAACCTGAGGCAAACTGTTAAACAATCAAGGAACACCGAGCCCCTCCCCAACGAAAAAGGGTTCCTTCTTCAGCGCCCCGACGGCAGGGCAGGCCGTGCGTTCCGCCAGAGACTTCGATGACCCGGAAGATTGAACTTTGCAACCACTTCATGGCTGGAGGGAGCGTGGTTTTCGACATGTGGCTCTCGCCTTGGCGCCGCGCATACAGTCGGGGCGTTGACCTAAGGAACCCTAAATAAGGAACAAGGCCCCTTTTTCCCACAAGTTAAACTTCGATTTCCCATCGAAGCCCTAAGCAAAACCAAAGGCGAACAGCAAAAAAACTAAGGAGCACCGAGCCCCTCCCCAACGAGAAGGTTCCTTCCTCAGCGCCCCGACTGTATTCCTCTTGAAATCTTGCAACAGCTTCGTGGTGTTCAACATGTGTCTCTCACCGTATCCGCGCGCATGTGCCTTATAAAAGTTCGACTTCCAGGGACCTAGATGAAACACCAGAAGCGGCTTTCTGGCACGATGTTGAACTCTCAGAGCGCAGCAGTCGCGTGTATTCACGATGGAGTCCCAGGAATGGTGTTCTGGCACGGTCCAAGGCAGTCAGGACGCAACAGACACTTTGATTCACGGTGTGTAGTCCCAGACATGGTTTCCTGGCGCGGTTGAGGATGATCAATATGTTGTTTCCCGACCTGGCACTTCCCGCCATGAACATAAATTCTTGTAAGGACCGACGAAGAGTGAACTTGGAGGGAGGGGTTATTGCACCATCATTGATGCGTCTACGGCCTGCAATGGTCTTCCGCCTCCACCTCCCTTTCTCCTCCCTCCCCTTCCTCCCGCAGCAGCAGCAGCATCAGCATCATCATCATCATCATCATCATCATCATCATCATCAGCAGCATCATCATCATCAGCAGTATTATCATCAGCATCATCATCATCAGCATCATCGTCATCAGCATCAACATTATCATCATGATCATCATCATCATCCTCATCATCATCATCATCATCATCATCAGCAGCATCAGCATCATCATCATCATCAGCATCATCATCATCATCAACAACATCATCGTCCTCATCGTCGTCCTCGTCCTCGTCCTCCTCCTCCTCCTCCTCCCACTCCTCCTTCCCCTCCTCCTCCTCCTCCTCCTCCTCCTCCTCCTCCTCCTCATCCTCCCGCTCCTCCTCCTCCTCCTCCTCCTCCTCCTCCGTCCTCCTCCTCCTCCCTTCCTCCTCCTCCTCCTCCTCCTCCTCCTCCTCCTCCTCCTCTCCTCCTCCTCCTCCTCCTCCTCCTCCTCCTCCTCCTCTTCCTCCTCCTCCGCCGCCCTTCTTCCCCTCGCCCCGCAGGGCACGGCAACGTCCTCGCTCCTCCGCACTCCTCCTTCCCCTCCTCCTCCTCCTCCCTCCTCCTCCTCACCTCCCGGCTCCTCCCTCCTTCTCCTCCTCCTCCTTCTCTTCCTCCTCCTCCTCCTCCTCCTCCTCCTCCTCTCCTCCTGGTGCTGATGGCGCTGGTGCCGTGTACGACCACGCCTCCCTCATCCTCCCAGCCTTGCTCTTCCTTCCTCCTCCTCCTCCTCCTCCTCCTCCTCCTCCTCCTCCTCCTCCTCCTCCTCCTCCTCCTCCTCCTCCCTCCTCCCTCCTCCTCCTCCTCCTCCTCCTCCTCCTCCCCCTCCTCCTCCTCCTCCCTCCTCCCTCCCTCCACCCTACCCCCCTCCTCCCCGCGCGACAGGGCCGCCGGGGCGCCCCGCTACAGGCGGGAGCCCACGGCGCCCATCCTCGCGCAGCGGCGCAAAGGCGGCCACGAGGTCGCGCTGCTGCTCCTCGGGAGGGCTCCCTTCCTGCTCCCTCCTTCCCTCCTTCCACACCTTCCCCTCCCTCTTCCTCCCCTCTCGCCCTTCTTCCCCCTTCCCCTTCCCTCCTTCCCCCCTTCCTGCCTCCCCCTCCTTTCTCCTCACTCGCTCCCTCTCCCCCCTCCCAACCACTCGCCCCCCCCCCCCCCCCTCTCCCGCACTCCTCGTCCCCGCCCCCTTCCCCCTGCCCTCCCTCCCCCCTGGGGAAGGGCGGCTTCGAGGAGGTGGGCAACGACTGCAGAACCGTCTGCTGGCACAGACAACGCCAGGCATAACCAGGGCGGGTCTTTCATGCCGCCCCCCCTCCAAGCTCTCGGCTGGCAGTTGAACTTGTCCTTCCCCTCCTCGTCAATCCCCTCCTCGTCCTCCTCAATCCCCTGCTCGTGCGTGCACGGGGAAGGAGGAGGATGCAGAAGAGTAGGATGAAGGAGTAAGTGTGCGAGTAGATGACGACGACGGCGGCGGCGGAGGACTGAGCAGTGGCCGCCGCCTTGGAATTGTTAGGTTCAACAAAATATAGCTGGGGGATCCGAACGCGTTAATAAGCAGCCCGTGCAAGACCAATGTTTCCGATATCATGGGGTATTGAAGACCCTTCGCGGGTATACGAGAGGGCAGAGAATCCAGGGTGTGACGGCGGCAGACTTTGACAAACAATCGGACACCCATAATCGCATTAAACGTCAAAAGGAGCTCGTGTGGACGGGAGCTGGCCACGGCGAGCTTCGTCGGGCTTCCTCAGCCACGCATCTCTGGCGGATGCGCACCCGCACCAACGAAGGGGGTTACCTCCACTGGGATCATGGATGTTGGTGCTGATGGCGATCCTTCGGCCACCCAGGGGGCCTGAATGCTATGATCACCAGCGGAATCGGGATCATTCTCCATCGAGGTGGAGGCACACCGCCGATGTTGGTGTTTGCGTCAGCCTCTAGGGCTCCTGGAGAAGGGAGGATGGCGAGGATGGAGGGTAGATGGTGGAGGAAAGGGAGGAATATGGGGGAGAGTGGGGAGGAGGAAAGAGGATGGAGGATGATGAAACTGAAGGGTGGGTGGTGGAGGAAAGGGAGGAGCAGGTTTTGGCAGGTGGCGCCTATACCGCCCCAGGTCCCTCGTCCCGAAGGGCTTGCTGGTAGTTCCAGCGGGGCCTGCTAAACCCAACAGCACTTAGTAGCCAGCTTAGTAGCCAATCATCGAGGATAATGATGATGGAGGGTGGATGGATGAGGAGATGGAGGAAAAGAGGAAGAGGGGGGAGGACGAGGACGGAGGGTGGACAGAGGATGAGGATGAAGGGTGGATGGTGGAGAGAGGGGAGAAGTAGGGGGAGGGGCTGAATGCAGCTGGTAGCCAGCCCACCGCTACCACCCGACTGCTGAACAGTGGGCTGTATCCGAGCCAAGCTGGAGGTGAAAGCCTCGAGCACAGCATAACCGGAATCATCTGCGGCTCCACCGTGCTGTCCTGGTGTGCGTTGGAGAAGCCGCTCAATCTGTTCCAGCTGAAGCTGGAGGCGAGCCTTCTGCTTCTCCTCAAGCTGCTGCTTAAGCTCGATGACCGTCTGCTGCTTAGTATCGATCGTTTCCTCCTCGGCCTGCACCGAAGCCTTGAGCTTAGCAATTTGCTGGTCAAACCTCTGGAGTCTGGAGCTCGTTACCGATGCAATGCGCCTGCGTGCCCAAGGGCTTGGACGGATGAGTCTCCTGCCGAAGCTGGCGCGCGGTGGTCTTGGCAGTGACGTCCCCCTCGACCGTCTTGGGATCAACGCCTTTGACCTTCGCCGCCAAAGCCAACGCCTCAACAACACCCTCGCAGGCCTCCGGCTCCTTCTATTCAGAGTCTCTAGCATCAACCGCAAGGGCCTCGGCGCGAGCTTCCTCGGCATCAGGTGGCTTCGGGCGAGACTGCAACTGCTGTACCTGCTTGCGAAGGGCCGCAAACTCCTTGCCCTGGGCAGCAACGACGGCGTCCGCCGGGCCTCCTCCAGCGGCAGAGAGCGCACGGAAACTGGGAGCAGCAGCCTCGAGGCCGCACCTGTACACTCTTCCCTTGGCACCACCACACTGAAAGCAAGAAGCAGCATCAGGATGATTGTGCCACGGCGCCCCTGTCTTGGCGTGGGTGCAAAAGCGGCAGACCCACCGTTTTGCTCTCTCGGTCCGCGCCCTGGCAACCCGACTCTTCGGCGGCATGACGCAAGAGAGAAGAACAGCAAGACTATGGGCACACTGTACAAAGTGAGGTTAAATGATGTGATCGCGATGGTCGCATTGTGGGGGGAAACCCCAATGGCGTATCGGAAGCTGGTTGGGAACGGCAGGGGCCGCTACCCTGTCCTAAACGCTCCCGCCCGCTGCTGGCCCCTGAGCCACGCGACATACTTGAGCCCAAACGGCTACAAAGGAGGAGGAGGAAGAGAGAGAGGAGGAGGAGAAGGAGGAGGAGGAGGAGGAGGAGAACGAGGTCGCCGGAGGAGGAGGAGGAGGAGGAGGAGGAGGAGGAGGAGGAGGAGGAGGAGAACGAGGTCGCCCCTCCCGTTTTGGCTGATGTGCCGCCATCGTTAACACCGCGCCCACTCCATCGCCCCTCACCAGGGCGACTTGTAGCGCCACTATCGTCACAGCAAACAACATGATCAAGAACCTCGTCACTTACGAAATCGGGGCCAGCTCCCCAGAAGTCTCTGAAAGCAGACCTGAGCCAGCTTCTGCTGTTGACGTAACGCTGGAGGGGTGAGAGCGTGCTAGAGGAACTGGGCCAGCTATCCTGCAGTTGCTTGCGAAACGACGGCCAAGCTTCTCGGAAGGATGTGTTTTTCATCCTATGCTCGGCTGCAGTGGGACAGCTGCACGCGCGCTGGTGGCGAGAGGATGGGAGACGGGGCGCGACGAGGGCTTCGACCGTTCGTTGTGACACAGTCCGCAGCTTCGAGCTTCGAGGAGGAGGTATTCCTCCTCCTCCTCCTCCTCCTCCTTCACAAAGTAATGAAGGATGCCATTAAGGAGCTGAACACCGAAGACAACATGGACCCAGAGGAAGTGAATAGGCCGAATGAGCGCCAGAAGGTAAGAGACAGCACCCAAACCATGCTGGATGGCACACCAAGGTCTTCGCGGAAAAGTTCGGCTACCCCAAGTCGGAGGAGACGACTACGGCCAGCTCATCCAGCGGCCACCAGTGAACGCACCGACTGGAGCCTGCTGGTATGCCAAGAGGAAGCATTAACGAGGTTTCTCGGATTGCTACTCTAGGCAAGCTGCGAGCTGACCGTGCCCGCAGACAGTCAGGAGGAGCATTAGCGAGGTCTCTCGGAGTGCAACTCATGACAGACAGTGCGGGCTCAACAGAGCGCCTGCACCGCCATCGCAACGGGAAGTATTTGTTGGAGTGCCGACAGGTACACTACTGCAGGGTGTCGAAGGAAGAACAAATGATCATCAAAGAACCCACCAATGTGCTCCCTATTGGCCTTACCTTATACCGTGACTGCCAGTATGGTCTACGTCACATACACTCCGAGGGGGAACGATTGGTTACTTCAACAGGG